CCAAGACTGAGGGACTGACCACCATCTACCAAGACTGAGGGACTGACCACCATCTACCAAGACTGAGGGACTGACCACCATCTACCAAGACTGAGGGACTGACCACCATCTACCAAGACTGAGGGACTGACCACCATCTACCAAGACTGAGGGACTGACCACCATCTACCAAGACTGAGGGACTGACCACCATCTACCAAGACTGAGGGACTGACCACCATCTACCAAGACTGAGGGACTGACCACCATCTACCAAGACTGAGGGACTGACCACCATCTACCAAGACTGAGGGACTGACCACCATCTACCAAGACTGAGGGACTGACCACCATCTACCAAGACTGACGGACTGACCACCATCTACCAAGACTGAGGGACTGACCACCATCTACCAAGACTGAGGGACTGACCACCATCTACCAAGACTGAGGGACTGACCACCATCTACCAAGACTGACGGACTGACCACCATCTACCAAGACTGAGGGACTGACCACCAATCTACCAAGACTGAGGGACTGACCACCATCTACCAAGACTGAGGACTGACCACCATCTACCAAGACTGAGGGACTGACCACCATCTACCAAGACTGAGGGACTGACCACCATCTACCAAGACTGAGGGACTGACCACCATCTACCAAGACTGAGGACTGACCACCATCTACCAAGACTGAGGGACTGACCACCATCTACCAAGACTGAGGGACTGACCACCATCTACCAAGACTGAGAGGACTGACCACCATCTACCAAGACTGAGGGACTGACCACCATCTACCAAGACTGAGGGACTGACCACCATCTACCAAACTGAGGGACTGACCACCATCTACCAAGACTGGAGGACTGACCACCATCTACCAAGACTGAGGGACTGACCACCATCTACCAAGACTGAGGGACTGACCACCATCTACCAAGCTGAGGGACTGACCACCATCTACCAAGACTGAGGGACTGACCACCATCTACCAAGACTGAGGGACTGACCACCATCTACCAAGACTGAGGACTGACCACCATCTACCAAGACTGAGGGACTGACCACCATCTACCAAGACTGAGGGACTGACCACCATCTACCAAGACTGAGGGGACTGACCACCATCTACCAAGACTGAGGACTGACCACCATCTACCAAGACTGAGGGGACTGACCACCATCTACCAAGACTGAGGGACTGACCACCATCTACCAAGACTGAGGGACTGACCACCATCTACCAAGACTGAGGGACTGACCACCATCTACCAAGACTGAGGGACTGACCACCATCTACCAAGACTGAGGGACTGACCACCATCTACAAGACTGAGGGACTGACCACCATCTACCAAGACTGAGGGACTGACCACCATCTACCAAGACTGAGGGACTGACCACCATCTACCAAGACTGAGGGACTGACCACCATCTACCAAGACTGAGGGGACTGACCACCATCTACCAAGACTGAGGGACTGACCACCATCTACTAAGACTGAGGGACTGACCACCATCTACCAAGACTGAGGGACTGACCACCATCTACCAAGACTGAGGGACTGACCACCATCTACCAAGACTGAGGGGACTGACCACCATCTACCAAGACTGAGGGGACTGACCACCATCTACCAAGACTGAGGGGACTGACCACCATCTACCAAGACTGAGGGACTGACCACCATCTACCAAGACTGAGGGACTGACCACCATCTACCAAGACTGAGGGACTGACCACCATCTACCAAGACTGAGGGACTGACCACCATCTACCAAGACTGAGGGGACTGACCACCATCTACCAAGACTGAGGGGACTGACCACCATCTACCAAGACTGAGGGACTGACCACCATCTACCAAGACTGAGGACTGACCACCATCTACCAAGACTGAGGGACTGACCACCATCTACCAAGACTGAGGGACTGACCACCATCTACCAAGACTGAGGGGACTGACCACCATCTACCAAGACTGAGGGGACTGACCACCATCTACCAAGACTGAGGGGACTGACCACCATCTACCAAGACTGACGGACTGACCACCATCTACCAAGACTGAGGGGACTGACCACCATCTACCAAGACTGAGGGGACTGACCACCATCTACCAAGACTGAGGGGACTGACCACCATCTACCAAGACTGACGGGACTGACCACCATCTACCAAGACTGAGGGACTGACCACCATCTACCAAGACTGAGGGACTGACCACCATCTACCAAGAACTGAGGGACTGACCACCATCTACCAAGACTGAGGGGACTGACCACCATCTACCAAGACTGAGGGACTGACCACCATCTACCAAGACTGACGGACTGACCACCATCTACCAAGACTGAGGGACTGACCACCATCTACCAAGACTGAGGGGACTGACCACCATCTACCAAGACTGAGGGACTGACCACCATCTACCAAGACTGAGGGACTGACCACCATCTACCAAGACTGAGGGACTGACCACCATCTACCAAGACTGAGGGACTGACCACCATCTACCAAGACTGAGGACTGACCACCATCTACCAAGACTGAGGGACTGACCACCATCTACCAAGACTGAGGGACTGACCACCATCTACCAAGACTGAGGGACTGACCACCATCTACCAAGACTGACGGACTGACCACCATCTACCAAGACTGAGGGACTGACCACCATCTACCAAGACTGAGGACTGACCACCATCTACCAAGACTGAGGGACTGACCACCATCTACCAAGACTGAGGGACTGACCACCATCTACCAAGATGAGGGACTGACCACCATCTACCAAGACTGAGGACTTGACCACCATCTACCAAGACTGAGGGGACGACCACCATCTACCAAGACTGGGGACTGACCACCATTACCAAGACTGAGGGACTGACCACCATCTACCAAGACTGAGGACTGACCACCATCTACCAAGTATGAGGACTGACACCATCTACCAAGACTGAGGACTGACCACCATCTACAAGACTGAGGGGACTGACCACCATCTACCAAGACTGAGGGGACATGACCACCATCTACAAGATGAGGGACTGACCACCATCTACCAACTGAGGGATGACCACCATCTACCAAGACTGAGGACTGACACCATCTACCAAGTACTGAGGACTGACCACATTACAAGACTTAGGACTACACCATTACCAGGACTGAGGGGATGACCACCATGTACAATTTGACAGGATGACACATTGACCAAGTATGAGGGATGACACCATCTACCAAGTTATGAGGAAGCAGTTAAGTGAGACTGATTTCCAGATACAAATTATGTCAGGATACATTTTCCAGGATACACTGAATTATTCTAAATGATGATGTCAAGGATTAAAGAATTAGTCCAGGATACAATGAATTATGAGATACATTGTGTCAGTGAGCATGAATTTGTCCAGATACGAATATGTCCAAGGAACAATATGTCCAGGATACACGAATTGTATCAAAATAGATACACATGGTGAACTGAAATAATTGTATATTAGGACATGTAAGTACAATGTATATAGTAACATAGTGACACATGTAACATGTACACATAGTGACACACAGTAACACAAGTGACACAGTGACACAACAGTAACTACAAGTAAAATGAGTGAAGAGATCAGTAATGAGTACTAATGAACTGAAGTATACACTAAGTAGCACATAGTGACACTTAAGACACAGTGTTACAATCAGTAACCGACATAGTGACACATGGTGACACAACAGTAGACATAAGAGAGGAGATTGGTCCAGGATAGCAGAATTAGAAGAGGAGCGAAATGAGTCAGTTTAACAGAATGTGTACACAGTGATGGGATTTGTGTAAGGAGGGTTATGAAGTCCAGGATAAGCTGAATTGTCCCAGAGAGCATGAATTGTGTCCAGGTATAGCAGAATTGTGTCCAGGATAGGCAGAATTATGCCAGGATACTAGGCTAGAATTGTGTCCAGTATAGGCAGAATTGTGTTCAGTATAGGCAGAATTGTGTCCAGGATATGCAGAATTGTTGCCAGGATATGCTGAATTGTGTCCAGTATAGGCTGAATTGTGTCCAGTATAGGCAGAATTGTGTTCCAGGATAGGCAGAATTGTGGCCAGGATACCTGGAGAATTGTGGCCAGAATTGTGGCCAGGACATGTTGAATTGTGTCCAGGATAGGCTGAATTGTGTCCAGTATAGGCAGAATTGTGTTCAGGATAGGCAGAATTGTGGCCAGGATACCTGGAGAATTGTGGCCAGAATTGTGGCCAGGACATGTTGAATTGTGTCCAGGATAGGCTGAATTGTGTCCAGTATAGGCAGAATTGTGCTCAGGATAGGCAGAATTGTGGCCAGGATACCTGGAGAATTGTGGCCAGAATTGTGGTCAGGACATGCTGATTTGTGTCCAGAATAGGCTGAATTGTGTCCAGGAGAGGCAGAATTGTGTACAGGATACGCAGAATTGGGTCCAGAACATGCTGAATTGTCCAGGATAGGCTGAATTGTGTGCAGTATATGTTGAATTGTGTCTAAGAGAGGCTGGAATGTGTCTTTGATAAGCCGAACTTTGTCCAGCATAGGCTGAATTGTGTCCAGGAGAGGCTGAATTGTGTCCAGGATGCACTGAATTATATATTCCATGTATTATCCCCGAATTTTGTCACATATTAGGCCAAAATTCGGGCAATGTTGCTTTTGCTTTGTGCTCTTATTGATTGTGAGGGCGAGGGAGGTGGGAGTGCCACCTGTTGGCGCTAGAGTGAAGCTTCACTTCTTGATCCTGGCACCAGATGGCACCACCTGCCGTGTGCTACACTCAGGGCTGCCAACCACGCCCTCTCTCCTCCCTTCCCAAAACATCATCTTTCTTTCTTTTTTTTGGGTGGGGGGATGTATATTATTATGCTTTTAAAATGATTAGCCTGGGGCCATTAGGGAGGATAATGGGAGTTATTTAGAGAGGGGTGGAGTGGGTGGGGTGGGCGGAGTGGGTGGTAGCTCCGCCCCTGCTCTCTAGGAGGGGCGGGGCCAGGCAACGCCGCACCCACCACCCATTCCAAGCACGATAATTACTCCTTTTCAACCCCCTTATTTTTACCTTAATTCTTTACTCACATTCACATAAAATAATCAGCGTGTACACAACGCCATAATAGACCACATCTGCTATGCAGCGACATCCATATTAAACGCTGAAAGCAACAAAAATGCATAGAAAATATTTAGTTGTCCACCTCTGGACATTCAGGGGGGAAAAAAGAGCAGAGTGGTGAGTGATGACCGGCTCTCGTTGGCTCAGTCAGTTACCCTTTAGTCGTAGTGTGGGGAGGTGCTGCGCTGACGCCGCTCCTCGTATAGTGACGACATATTGTATGGTTTATCGTAGGATAATGTTGTTAGTGTTGTGGTGACGGGTCGAGGATGGTGGAGTGCTGGGATCTGTTACTGGATGAGGATTATTAGTGGCGTGGGAGTTTGTACCCAAGGATTGTTGGTGGACCCCCGCTGCAGTGCGGACCCTGCTAGCCATGGCCCCCTATCCTGGCCCCCCATGTCCAACTATCCTGGGCCCCCCGATCTGTCTATCCTGGCCCCCCATGTCCAACTATCCTGGGCCCCCCGGTCTATCCTGGCCCCCCCATGTCCAACTATCCTGGGCCCCCCGGTCTGTCTATCCTGGCCCCCCATGTCCAACTATCCTGGGCCCCCCCGGTCTGTCTATCCTGGCCCCCCATGTCCAACTATCCTGGGCCCCCCGGTCTGTCTATCTTGGCCCCCCATGTCCATCTATCCTGGGCCCCCCATGTCCATCTGTCCTGTGCCCCCCGGTCTGTCTGTCCTGTGCCCCCCATGTCCAACTATCCTGGGCCCCCCGCCCACTTATTCTGGGTAACTCCCACTTATTCTGGGTAACCCACACCCACCTATTCTGGGTAACCCACCCACCTATTCTGGGTAACCCACACCCACCTATTCTGGGTAACCCACACCCACCTATTCTGGGTAACTCCCACCTACCCATTCTTGGTAACCCCCACCCACAAACTATGGGTACCCCCACCCACCTATTCTGGTAACCCCCACCCACCTATTCTGGTAACATAAGAACATAAGAAAGGAACACTGCAGCAGCCCTGTTGGCCCATACTAGGCAGGTCCTTTACAATTCATCCCACTAACAAACATTTGACCAACCCAATTTTCAATGCCACCCAAGAAATAATCTCTGATGTGCAAGTCCCACTCAAATCCAACCCATCCCACTCATGTATTTATCCAACCTAAATTTGAAACTACCCAAAGTCCCAGCCTCAATAACCCAACTAGGTAGACTGTTCCACTCATCAACTACCCTATTTCCAAACCAATACTTTCCTATGTCCTTTCTAAATCTAAACTTATCTAATTTAAATCCATTCTGGGTAACCCCCACCCACCCATTCTGGGTAACTCCCAACCACCTATTCTGGTAACCCCCACCCACCCATTCTGGGTAACCCCCACCCACCCATTCTGGGTAACCCCCACCCACCCATTCTGGGTAACTCCCACACACCTATTCTGGGTAACCCCCACCCACCCACTCTGGGAAACCCCCACCCACCTATCCTGGGTAACTCCCACCCACCAATTCTGGGTAACCCCCCACATATATTTTGGGTAACCCCAACCCATCTATTTTGGGTAACCCCAACCCATCTATTTTGGGTAACCCCAACCCATCTATTTTGGGTAACCCCAACCCATCTATCCTGGGTAACCCCTGCCCACCTATCCTGGGTAGCCCCCGCCCACCTATTCTGGGTAACCCTCGCCCACCTACTCTGGCCTCCGCCCATCTATCCAGGGGGGCCCCACCCAACTATCATGGGGGCCCCGCCCATCTCGTGATTCCCTCCCACCTATCCTTGCTCCCATCTGTCTATCGTGGCCACTCATCTATCCAAGTCCGCCGCCCACCTGTCCTGGACTTCCACCCACCTGTCCTACCCTCCACCCACCCACCCACCCACCCACTCACCCACCTGTCCTACCCTCCCACCCACTCACCCACCTGTCCTACCCTCCACCCACCCACTCACCCACCCACCTGTCCTACCGTCCACCCACCCACTCACCCACCTGTCCTGGCCTAACATCCACCTGTCCTGGCCTCCCACCCACGTATCGTTCCCTACCACCTGTCCTGGCCTCCCTCCCACCCACGTATCGTACCCTACCACCTGTCCTGGCCTCCCACCCGCCCTGGCCTCCCACCCACCTATCGTACCCTACCACCTTATCCTGGCCTAACACCCACCCGTCCTGGCCTAACACCCGCCCGTCCTGGCCTCCCACCCACCCGTCCTGGAATCCCACCTGTCATGGCCTCCCACCCACCTGTCCCCTGAACTACATTCATGTATATTATAAGGTATATCTGTCATCGTATATACATCGGTAAACGTGTATTTTCAGATCTTTATTTTTATACACTGAGAGGTGTATATATCTCAGTGTATATACACTGGTAGTTTACATTAATCAGTATTTTAGGTATTAAAATATTCTTGACTGGTGGTGTACAGGTGACCTGCAGCCTTAATGACCCTCGTTTAGTAGACTGACTTCAAACCTAACAAATTTAAACACGTGCATAAACTAATCGTGTGTTGATCACTTTACTGCATGGCCCCCAAGAGGGCCACTACGAGATTTTCAGGGGCCATGAGTGGCCATAGTTGCGAGTGGTGCTAGAAACTAGGAAGTCTGAAATGACTGAATATATTGTTTTGGCCTGTGAGTGGAGAGCTTTTCTTGTCTTGTTAGTATCTTTGTGCTGCCATCCACAGGATGGATATGAGGTACACAATAAACTAGCCACTACCATCCACAGGATGGATATGAGGTACACAATAAACTAGCCACTACCATCCACAGGATGGATATGAGGTACACAATAAACTAGCCACTACCATCCACAGGATGGATATGAGGTACACAATAAACTAGCCACTACCATCCACAGGATGGATATGAGGTACACAATAAACTAGCCACTACCATCCACAGGATGGATATGAGGTACACAATAAACTACCCACTACCATCCACAGGATGGATATGAGGTACACAATAAACTAGCCACTACCATCCACAGGATGGATATGAGGTACACAATAAACTAGCCACTACCATCCACAGGATGGATATGAGGTACACAATAAACTAGCCACTACCATCCACAGGATGGATATGAGGTACACAATAAACTAGCCACAACCATCCACAGGATGGATGTGAGGTACACAATAAACTAGCCACTACCATCCATAGGATGGATATGAGGTACACAAACTAGCCACTACCATCCACAGGATGGATATGAGGTACACAAACTAGACACTACCATCCACAGGATGGATATGAGGTACACAATAAACTAGCCACTACCATCCACAGGATGGATATGAGGTACACAATAAACTAGCCACTACCATCCACAGGATGGATATGAGGTACACAATAAACTAGCCACTACCATCCACAGGATGGATATGAGGTACACAATAAACTAACCACTACCATCCACAGGATGGATATGAGGTACACAATAAACTAGACACTACCATCCACAGGATGGATATGAGGTACACAAACTAGCCACTACCATCCACAGGATGGATATGAGGTAAACAAACTAGCCACTACCATCCACAGGATGGATATGAGGTACACAGTAAACTAGCCACTACCATCCACAGGATGGATGAGGTACACAATAAACTAGGCACTACCATCCACAGGATGGATATGAGGTACACAATAAACTAGCCACTACCATCCACAGGATGGATATGAGGTACACAATAAACTAACGACTACCATCCACAGGATGGATATGAGGTACACAAACTAGCCACTACCATCCACAGGATGGATATGAGGTACACAATAAACTAGCCACAACCATCCACAGGATGGATATGAGGTACACAATAAACTAGCCACTACCATCCACAGGATGGGTATCAGGCACACAAACTAGCCACAACCATCCACAGGATGGATATGAGGTACACAATAAACTAGCCACTACCATCCACAGGATGGATGAGGTACACAAACCAGCCACTACCATCCACAGGATGGATATGAGGTACGCAGTAAACTAGCCACTACCATCCACAGGATGGATATGAGGTACACAAAAAACTAGCTACTACCACCCACAGGATTTATGAGGTACACAATAATATAGCCACTACCATCCACAGGATGGATATGAGGTACACAATAAACTAGCTACCATCCACAGGATGAATGAGGTACACAATAAACTAGCCACTAACATCCACAGGATGGATATGAGGTACACAAACTAGCCACTACCATCCACAGGATGGATGAGAGGTACACAAACTAGCCACTACCATCCACAGGATGGATATGAGGTACACAATAAACTAGCCACTAACATCCACAGGATGGATATGAGGTACACAAACTAGCCACTACCATCCACAGGATGGATGAGAGGTACACAAACTAGCCACTACCATCCACAGGATGGATATGAGGTACACAATAAACTAACCACTACCATCCACAGGATGGATATGAGGTACACAATAAACTAACCACTACTATCCACAGGATGGATATGAGATACACAATAAACTAACCACTACTATCCACAGGATGGATATGAGATACACAATAAACTAACCACTACTATCCACAGGATGGATATGAGGTACACAATAAACTAACCACTACTATCCACAGGATGGATATGAGGTACACAATAAACTAACCACTACTATCCACAGGATGGATATGAGATACACAATAAACTAACCACTACTATCCACAGGATGGATATGAGATACACAATAAACTAACCACTACTATCCACAGGATGGATATGAGATACACAATAAACTAACCACTACTATCCACAGGATGGATATGAGGTACACAATAAACTAACCACTACCATCCACAGGATGGATATGATGTACACAAACTAGCCACTACCATCCTCAAGATGGATACGAGATGCACCATAAACTAGCTACTAAGGTGGACCTTTTTAATGGATATGATTAAATTTCACGTGTGCAGTTCCCGTCCGAGTCCCATTGCGTTCAGCCGCTCCTCTGACCTGTATGGGACATGTCTGTCTCGTCGATATGTAAACGGCAGTCCAACCTAGACGCGTGTTTTGTGTGTTTTGTGTTTGCTTTTGACTCTCTTATTCAGTGTAAATCACTTACAAAATCTTAGAGGTGGGGCACGGGGGTTATTTTGAATGTTGCTCAAGTGAGGAAATACTGAGAACCATTGTATTGATAAAGGAAGTGAGGAACAACGAGGAGTGACAACTG